AAATGTGCACAGATGCGTTGTGGTGAACTTGGCGATGAAGTGAGGAAGGCGTGAGAGCACTTGAAGTGCTGATTCAAAGTTTAAACTGGTCCTCCTGTCCCAGAGTACCTGCGCTTGGCCCAAGAAAGCATCAATGTTGAACAGAGACTGCAGAGAGCGCTTTGACGTGTCATTGGTTTAATCACAGTTAGCTGCAGCAGCCTCCAAACACAGCGCAGCTACTGCTGTTACATCCATAACATGTGTGGAAAGCCTAATGACATTTAATCACATTAACTGTGTGTACTGTTCACGGGTTTGTGCACACACCTCCATCCTGCTGCAGTTTGTGGGTATCGTGCAGATCGACATTAATCCTGAATTCTCTTTGAAGCTTCCATTCAGGATCTGCTGTTTCCTTGTTGGTGTCTCTGCAGGTTGGGACACTGACAGAGTCGGAGCGAGAGTCTGTAGCACTGCTAAGTGCTGTCAGTCGCACCACAGCTGAGGTAAGCAGGACGACACCTTTAGACGCATATGCTTGGTTTGCTTCAGTGGGAGCTTAACAGGAGGAGCCGGGGCTGGGCCGGCCGGGGGGCCAGTGGGTCGATCGAAGGGCCGCTGAGCAACAAGCCCTTTGTTCATTTTCATTACTGACACATCACATCTCCTCACTGCGCGCCGTGCAGAGAGAGTGTAGAGAGATGTGGAGCCAAACTAAGTGCAGCAGTGGTAGCTGCACCATCACCCACAGTGGTGCCAGCAGCACCTGCCACTGAACGTGTCCCACGATGTGTCATTTTAAATAAATTACATGAGTTTACATGTCAGTAAGGAGGTAATCCCAGCCCTTCTCCTCTCACAGTGAGCCACAGCACGTCTCTGCTTCCAACCTGGACTGTGTACGTTCATCATCATCATCATCATCATCATCATCATCATTATTCTCAGGTTTATTTCCTGCTGGTCTCGGTGCTGAGTTCAGTCCCAGGCTCCTCATTTCACATTTAAAACCTGATAGTGGCCCCCAGTGATCCCCCAGTGATCCCCCAGTGATCGCCAGTCCACCTGTAATATTCACAGTATGTGGTGTTGTAGCACAGCACTGCTCCCCCCCCCCGCAGCTGCTTCTCTTTTCCTTTTTTGTTAATCTTTGCCACAAACACGACTGTCACTTCACCGGAGCACATCAGTCGATGCTGCGCTTCCTTTGTTTGCTCTTTTCAAACATAGCGACACAAAGATGCTCTGAGCCTGAAAATGTGGAATCGTAAAGAATCAAAGGCCATGTTCACACTAACGCGTTCCCATTTGAAAACGCATCGTTTTCTCTCCGTGTTGGCGTCCCGTCCACTGAGACGCCGTTTTTGCTCAAGGAAAACGCAGCGTTTTGAAAACGCTCTCCAAAGCGGATACATTTGAAAATGCTGTTTTCGTGTCGCAGTGTGGACAGCGAACCCGGAGCCTTTTTGAAAACGATAACACATGTTAGTCATGTGATGCAGTCATGTGACCAATTAAACTGAGATAGCGGAGGGCGTTACACAGCAGCTGTTTTGTCTGACAGCCCTGTTAAAGATGAATCAGTCTGTACGCGCTCCAGAGAGCTTTTCTTCAAATTCTTTAACTCTCACTCACTTTTGCAACTTTGTACTTTTGTGTTACTCGCAGCAACAACTCCACCTCATCGTCAGTCCATTTAACAAACTCGCTGCTTTTCCTCCACATGTTGCCTGAAAGTAAATGAACGGCAGACAGAAATGAGGCGGGCTGAATCTTCTTGCGCTTCACGCATGCGCAGGACTGGAACGTCAGCGTTTTCAGCCGTTTCAACGTGGACGCACACCTCTGTGAAAACGATAG